CGTTTTACCAAAAGCTTTACAAAAGAATAATCAATTTTCTTCGTCTTTTCCACTTTTTATTACAGCAGAAATTTTGTGATTTATAAAGATTGGTTTAAATGGCTAACATCAATGTAGTTTGCTAAGTGATATAGCATTTCAATGCTGTTCTGCACGGCAATCGTATCAGTACTGGGGAAGGGAAGCTGGGAGAACATCTTGTAATGGTCAATTAAAAGCTTTGCTTGCCGCACTAGCACAGACAGCACATTAAACCATCGGCTTTTTTTTCAGCTCTTTATTTACATATATCAAATATATACATATTTTCATTTAACTTTCTGCTTAGTTTTTTTATCAATCTCTGTTTTTCCATCTCTACCTTAAACTTTTATTGCTATTTTTACCGTACTTTATTTTACCAACTTATTCGTCACTTCCGTGTCGTTCAGTCACGTTGATAGTTCATCTAATTCACAGATCAAAACACAGTTAGCGTCTTTGTAGTTATAAAAGTTATTGAACTGAAAAAAAGAGAGGCAGAAATATTTTAATCCTTGTCGGCAGTTGCTGGATGATATAACGGTTAGGATTTGTAGACATTGAGCCAAACCATAAGCTGTGGAACTGTGGATAATAGCAGTTATGTGTGTTTGCATTTTTTTCACAGAAACAAATATACTCAGAAAAACCTTTAATAACTATGAACGTACATCTGTAGAAAGAATAATTGTTTTTATAAAAAATAAAAAAATAATGACTTTTTACACTTATCGTTATTTTTTCTATTAAGATACTGTTAGAAATTGATATTAGCATAACAACTACAAAAAAAGAAAAAAAAAGAAGTAGACAAGAGTCTTGAATTTGGTTGAAGTTGTTCCACTGGAAAACAGAGAAAATTCGTTTTCGGTTGCCAAAGAAGAAAAAAAGTTAATTTTGATGAAAATTTTTATCTATCTGGACAGCTGGCAAAGAAAGTAAAGGATTTATAACAGCAAATCTGATTCGTCTTTTTTTTCTTATGTGTTTTATACACCATCTTTTAAGCAACAGTTTTGTAAGCGAACTTTTGAAATGTGGCAAAATAAGAGAGTGCGCTCTTCAAGTTGTTTAAAAAGCTTAAATGAGGTCGATCATCTGCATAATTTGCAATTTATGACAAAAATTCAAACGAAACTATAATCATATGTGAACGGTGGTTATCGCAAACTGTTCTTTGCTGTTGCAATTGTTATTTAAAACAAAATCAAATTTTGCTTACTTTATTTTTGCAATTGTAAAACTTAAAAATATGCTTTCTGATTTTTGAAAAAAAACTATATTCAACAAGTAGTTTTTTTTGGAGGAAGAATAAAAATATTACGCATACACATACACAATTCTTTCAACTATGACTGCTGATTTTTTAGCTTTTCGACGACTCAACAGTTCGAAGACAAAGATGAATAGAGAAAAATAAGTGACTTCTAAAATTGTTCGACAAAATGCCAGAGAAAAATTGCTCTTTATAATTCCCATACAATAAACTTTCCTTTTTCAGGGAAACTATTTATGGGGCTGACTATTTTTTACTTCTTTTACTTATAACATTTAGAGTATATGCCATTAATTTTCTTCTGAGTTTTTCTAAAGCTGACTCAACAAATTATTACTCTTTCTTTTACCTGTACAAATTGTCCAATTTTTTGCTCGTTTTTTGCTTATCTATGGGCATCTGGCAGTTTGAGAGTGCTATAAGTCAACAGAAATTAGTGCTGGTCAATAAAAAATTTTTTCTGGAAGTTAATAAACACAGATTAAAAGCGTATTCTTCAAACAGCAGTTTATTTTGCTGACAGTGAAACGAAGATAAAAGAAAACAGAAGAGAATTTTTGAGAAAAAAAAGTTTTGTTTCAAACCTGTATACTTAATTTTTTCATTATAGTTGCTAAAATTTTAACTGTTTAACTGTCATTAAAGTTACCAAATATTTTTCATTATGTAATAGAGCAAATTTTAACTAATCTGCTAACAGTCTGTTGGCCAACTGATAGTTTTTAAGTGTCTGTAAGGAGAGAAAAAAAATTTTTTTTTAACTTTGCTCGACATATTGTTTTGTTCTCTCGAGCAGAATAAAACTTGCAAAGTTGAACGAAACGGATAGGAAAAAAGGCAGAAAAAAGATATCGAAAGGCGTAGTTACAGTCGTAAAAAACTGCTGTTACAGGATTGTTTTCAGTGTTATAAATAACGTTTACAATTAGTTTCTTTCTTTATTCATTTGCCAACATTAAGGCTTAAATTTTAGCAAAAGATGTAGATTAATGTAGTATTTTAGGTGTATAGCTTAGGCGACTCTGTAGCAATAATACTTATTCGGAATAAAAAAGTTTTTTTTCTTTAATAGCTGTAATCTTTATATAGTCTTATTCATAACAAAAAAAAAAA